ACCATTTCTTGTACATCACATGACGCCACCGCTTCTGCCATCGAAATCCGTTCACCGCTCCATTCTTTGCCTTTAGCTATCTCTAGCGACGCCTTTAGCGATCGTTCTCTACTGCTTTCAACTGGAAATATTTTAGCGTCCCATAGAGAGACATCTGTCAAGCCCATCTCTTTTCCCATCCAGCAAAGACTTGACTTTTTCGCTTTCACATCGTCGTCCATGTGTAGTAGTACTGTTATGTAACGTTGATTCCCAACACATAATGAAAACAGTATGCTGTAGTTATCCAGTTTGAATGTGTCATTAGATTCACATCCGCTCACTATACATAAATTGCCCACGGTTGCTCCGTCGAACTTACAATATTCCAACAGCGTCTCACTGCCAATCTGTAAATATGTGCATTTCTATTTTCACTTGTTTTTTCACTTATTTTTTTTGCTCGAATTTTGCAGTGTAATCACAGCCCTTCGCACGCACATACGAACGAAAGTGAGCACAAGATATTCGGTGTGCAACGTTAGCACAACTTGCGCTAAGGTGAGGCGATGTACAATTTAGGCTGCATACCTCACCTTAGCACGATTTGAGCTACCATCCAAAAGTGCGCAAATGCCCAGGTCCGTGATATCTGCTCTATATTAGCTTAGGGTGCATGCATAGTCGGTCCGATCGTAACGGTCGCACACCTTTGGATGCTATCGATCGTCAGACTTGCCTGAGTATTCGACGGTATCTGACGCTGTGCGACCGTTACGATCGTTGCGATCCGACGAAGCGACTAGTGCATACGCACACTTCAGCTTAGAAGCTTGTTACGGTGGTTGTGGGTGTTTGACGCGTGCGAGGGCTGCTGTGTGATGGCTGGCACTGCCGCGATGTCAGCTCGGTATCGCGAGCGATTCGATCAAATGTGAATCGCGCGACAGTCGCGCGATTGACATGACTCCCATCATGACCAATCGCTCCAATCGCGCGATGGGCGCGATCACTCCCGTTGTGGCTGGCGCGCCCCTCTCGATCGATACCTCAGTCAACGTATCGATCGAGAGGGGCGCGCCAGCCACAACGGGAGTGATCGCGCCCATCGCGCGATTGGAGCGATTGGTCATGATGGGAGTCATGTCAATCGCGCGATCGTCGCGCGAATCGCGCGATGCAGAGTCTGACATCGGCCATAGAGTCGACCACTCACGAGCGTTTTGCTTGCGCGTGCGCAACAACCGACCAAAAGCCGACCTTCTCAACGAGCACTACTAAGTAATGTATTTCTTGGTCTTTTGCATGTTCCATTTTTGCCATATTTAACTATTTGTGATATAAAAGTTCCTTTCAGTGATTTGATCCTTGTAAGTGACATAAAGTTCAGTAGGGTACATGGCATTAAAAACGTACTACTGACTATTCCCTTAATTATCAATTATTTTGTAAACAACTAGTTGTACGCCCTCTCGAACTGGGTGGGGCGCAATATGTGACTACGGAGCACTTTCAGCATCTATCACCCATTATGAGAGAGGTCGGATTGAAATCATAAAACTGGTGGGAGTTTTTGTAGTGAACGGGGCGGTTGTGAAGCGGCACAGGCAATATACCGTCTGCTTCTGAGGCGCACACATAGTCGGTCGGACGGCAGCAACGATCGTAACAGTCGCACAGCATAGGATGCGTATCGATCGTCGGACTTGCCTGAGTATTCGACGATTAGATGCAGTTAGGGCCCGCCTCGGGATAGCCACGGCTAGTTGCGTTGCTCAGGCTGACCCTTTTGTTGCTAATTTCATTGCTTATTCTAATGCAGCCGCCTAATGCACGCTGGGTTTTTTGCATACGAGGTGAGTGCTTCCTTATCCTTTAATTCTTCAAGTGGACTAGTTGTCTTACAACGGCTACGCTGACAATCAGCTTTGCTGCTCCATAGCGTTGCCCTGTCGAAAGCTTTTTCTGTTCCTTATCATAATGTCTTTCCTCTCTCACCGGTACTTCGATTTCTACTCAGTGATCTTCTACGTGTGCCGTTGGAGCAGTGTTTCTTTTTTTTTCTTTTGTTGCTTTTTATGATTCCTTTTCATCCTTGTTCTCGGTTCATGTTCGAGTTGGAGGCACTGAGAGTGCACTTAAATAAATAATAAATAAGTTAGCACAGTCAGACAAAAGGGGTTACCGATCGTTGCTGTCGCGGCACGACCCGACTATGCGTGCGCCCTCAAGTGCAGACCACACAACATCTCCGGCAGTCGACGTCTGCACAACACACTATTCAACACAAGTGACGATGGCCTTTAAGTCGATCTGATAAGTAGTGGTTCATTAGTCGGCTGTTTCAGCAGAAAACAATTTTGTTAGGGGTCGTCGTCACTTGTGTTGTGTGCTCTGCACTCGACGCACTCTGGTTTTTGGAAACAGAGTAGCGTCGATGGTGACAGGAATAAACAGAATAGAGAAAACAATTTCGGCTGCCTGTGACGCGAATATGTTTTCTTATTCCTTCCTTTCAAAATACGAGAGTAGCGATGAGTGCAGACCATACACCTTGAGTGACGACAGCCCCCAAGTAAACTGGTTAGTAGTATTAGTAGTGGCTGAGGATCGCGTAATTGATAGATAAATAGTGACAACTGATAGAATACAACTGCAATAATTATCATTTCGCTGGCGAAAAACCTTTACGTTTTGTGGAGGTCGTCGTCACTTGATGGTGTACGGTCTGCACCAACGTTCTTCTCAATATTTTGAAGGCGAAGTAGGTCATCTCCAGAGGTGATACGATGTGTAGATATCAGGCTGTGCTAACCCCATTTCAAATTTTTTGTTTACAAACATCGTCTTGAGAAACTGATTACCAACACCCGTCTTTGAATGCGCACATGTGTTGTTAGCCGAACGATGGAACTGATAACAACGCACTTTCTGGTTATCAGCCTGATAAGTAGCACGCCCACATTGACTCCAGAGAATCGCCTTGCTTACCCTCTTTCACACAATGTTGAAACGTTGCTTGCAAAATAAAGTGCACGGCTATGTGAAAAGTTTGTGGAAGGTGACAGCATTGTTATACTCACTGAGCTGAAACGTTCGTTCTACTGCTGGTAACCATTGGCGGGACAGGATTGGTGTTCAAGCCAGCATGCCACTCATCTCAGGTGTCAGGTGTGGTTTGGGGTATTCAGGGTCCTTGAAATGATAGTGACACCACAACATTGGCTAGCTGCCATATGATATTGTATTGGTCTTATACGCATCCAAATTGGTCCACAACTTTCTGTAGAAGCGGCATTCGTGGCGCATCTCAAAACCTTCATTGGCCCTCTCACACTATCTGCTATTCTTCTAGAAATATCTTATTGTGGCCTGAAAAACTAGTCTAAGTAAATGCTCGGAAAACCGACTAAACGACTGCATGGGTCCTCACTGCTTAGGCTTATATTTAAGTATGTCACCTAAGGGGGGGGTACAAAAAGTCACTCCGGCGTGGCTCACATCAGCAAACTTTCCGTCGCACAGAGTGCAGCAGTTGATGAAAGTTTCATTGTGGTAAAATATTCTTAGATGTTTCAATAAGCGGAAACAGGCCGTCCTTCACTACCCTCAGTCTTCATAACATGATATCATCTACCATCGCCGTCGAGCTCAAGGAGGCCAACCGTAATCGCTCCAGTCTGCAGCTGCTGCACAATTTCTTCAATCGGTTTAGTGGTAGATAGCTTTCCAGAGGCTGCAGCTCTGACTATCAAGACCCCTCACTATTTCCTCTACTAATCGTTTCCAAAGATCGATAATGGACTTCTAGTATCCATAGAGGACCTCGTTGATCTCTAACCGTGTACCATATGGGCGTGTAAAATTATTCCAAAGAATTAGGTGTAGAAGGCTGTTGAGTACAACACAATTCAGATGGGCCTATCTCTATCTCTGGTATAAATATGCGTCGTACCATCGGAGTTAAATATGCGCCTATTTACGGCACTTTCGCGTGTCCTAAAAACCGAATCAAAAACCACACACAGCTCAACAGTCACAAATTTGAATAGCTTCGAAATGACGATATTCCTTTGTTTTTGTTTCTGCGCATTCCATGATTCGCACTGGAATGACTGCTCCTCCCCTTTTTGGCAAGAGAAAACGAAGAAGTTTACTTACCTTACAGTTGGTCAGGTTGCAATACACTGTATTTGTGAAAGTCCCGAGGAATTTCTTTGAAAATATCGAATCCTCTCTACAGTGCTCCTAAAACTTCTTAAAATATTATTCGGAGGTGGAAATTTCCATACATGACAGAAAAAAAGATGTAGCACTGACGAGGAGCTCTCTGAGGAGTTCCGAGATGGAAAAAGGCGTCGACACCGAGCCGTTGACATTTCTGTGAGAGATTTTGGAGACGATGTCTGCAAACGCTTGACGCCAAGACGATATTTCAGCATTCCCTGCGAATAGGAAGTACTAAGTTTCCAAACCGGTGCGTCATCAACCCACTTCTAATTTCTTTTTTTTCTTTTTTTTCAAGATCTTAACTACGTTTCCAGCACTATTTAATTGGGAGTCTGTACCACATGGGCAAATAGGGGGCAGACATAGCGATGCAATTGTGTGGAAAGAAACCCAATTCGAGACATACGAACCCAATTAAAAACACTTCCCCTCTCGAATGCGACAGCGACTGCAGTCGCAAAGTCTGACACCAATATCGGAGCCGCAGTGAATGCAAGGATGCAAGCTGGGATCCTGCCAAACCTTTCGAGCTTTTAATTTTAATTCGAGTTGACAACGATAGATTACCTCCGTAAATAGATCAAAACATCAGTTTGAAGACCGGCTGTTCTCCCCAAGTTCATGGGTACAGTACGCTGATTACTGTACAGGCGCTGGAGTCAGAGAGAGAAAGAGATTGAGCAAGACGCTTTCCGATGAGAAATGTACAGTTGCCTTGGCATATGTGCCATCCTAGAAATGGAGTGGTGGAGTCGTGGCAAATGCCCATGGTACCACACTCATGATACGTGGATGAAAATCAACCAAGTGTTCCACTCATTTGGGATCGACCAACTGGGAACAGACTTGGGTGTATCTCAAGATATCTGACCGCTATGGCCATTGTCGGGGGCGTGCCTCGATTTCAAGTGCTTGTACGAACGATGTGAAAAGATGGCGTACCCATGCAATTCCTGAATTCCCCACGACCTTGGCAGAGCCTTTGAGCTCGTGGGCCTTTCGCACGGGGTCGTTGCCAGCTATTGGTGGAATGTGCCTTTAAGTTCGCGTTGCAGCTTGAAAAGGATAAAACAAGACTTTTGCTCCGCTTTATCACTTTTTCTGGAAAATTCTGGCATTTGATCTTGAATATGTACAGTAGCGGTCAAAAGTGTTCGCCGAAACGGTTTTTCGCTTCTCTTTTTTTCCAGAAAAATCAATGGTGACCTCGAAAATTTTTCTTTTGAATATCCTGATTCTTTAAGACTTGAGGATATAAAAACACTAGAAAACATAGTATATCAATCTTTGGAGGGCGTTGCTCAAGCGAGAAAAAATAATGCACTGAAAATCGTTTCGGCGAACACTTTTGACCGCTACTGTACATGTTCAGAATCAACACGCCAGCATTTTCCAAGTGGTGAAACGGAGCAGAGCTCTTGTCTTATCCTTTTCGAACTGCAACGCGAACTTAAAGGCACAGTCCACAAATAGCTGGCAACGAGAACCCGTGCGAAAAGTCCACGAGCTCAAAGGCTATGCCTTCGTAGCTCAAGGGTGCGGTTGGAGAAGAATATGTTTTCCAGTGTTGCTCAAGCAGCTCCAATCGTCATTCACACACTCCGCCTGAGATCAACGTACGGGCATTTTGCGTCTCAGTTGTCTCTATGCTCTTTCCTTCTCCATCTTGCGCCTTCTCTCGACAGCCAGTGTTTTTTTTTTGCTGTAACCTAGCGCAATGCTCATAAACACTGCAAAAGGGGCCTGATTCAGAATATCGAAGTTCATCGATTTCACGTGCTTCTCCTGCAACAACAGGCTCATTGGCCCCTACAGGTCTATATTTTACCTCCCTTTTACCCACTCAGGAAAGTTTCATTGTAGTTACCTACCTTTCGTCAAATAGTCCAGAAGAGGTTCTGAGCCGAGCGGACGCATAAAATCACCATAGCAGCAAGTTTCTACCAAGCAGGGACCACGACTTCTTGACAACAACATCAGTTCTTCGCACACTCGCCATGAAATCCAGAAGAAGCTAAATCGTGGACCTTGATATTGGTTTTTCTTCATTTTTAAATTCACCAGAAGGTCTTATGTAGTCTCAAGGATGAAGCGACGGGTGTCGAACAATCGTTCAAGAGTCGCCAAGCATACCACTGATTCTTTCACTTATCAAGAAAATGAAGTGCGCGCTGCAGCGCCGTTACCTCAGAGTAGTAATAACCTTAGTTGTCGGCACCCAGATTCAGAAAATCCTAGCTTTTTTTCCTCTCTTGTTTTCTCTTCTTCTGTAAATATCAACTATGGAGGTGACCTTACATAAAAACTAATCCAAGGGTTCAACTGTAATCGGCTAATTATTTGAGAAAAAATTTAACCGTACTCCTTGACTCAGCTACTCGTTTCAAAAACATTTGGCCTACATAATGATTAGAAATTGAGTGCATGGCGCAGACACCGGATTGCCGATATCGATCGCTTCATCCTCTTCGCCTGTTTGGTCATTCTGAAAAATCGAGCGCACCAATCTGTGAGGGCGTTTCCTGAGGGTAAAATCGCTCCAGCAGCTCTCATGTCCTCCAAAGACGGTTTCTGCATTACCGATTTCAGGCAACCGTTCTCCATCACGAACACACCGTGACCCGATGCTACCTGAACCAAATATACTGTACTCTTATAGTAACCTCATAGGGTGCCATCCATATGCAACTGATTCTGAGGGCATGTAATGATACACAGTATAATTTGCCTGGGTATGTAGCAAGAAGTCACCACGCACGTCGTGCCCAAAAGCAGTTCGAATTTGCAGCAGCTTCATCGCGCTCAGCAGTCTCAGCCAGGCATTTCCTCCTCATTTAAGGGGCAAATTTGAGTAGCAAATGAGGGTAGCTGCACGATAACCTCCTGCTACACAATCACCTGGTCCTATTTCCAGGAGGCGGTCCTGTCATCTGTCTTCAGTCTCTTTATCATCAGATGGAAGGACTTCATTCACACATTTCATGTTTTTATGCAACATAACAGCTTTTCTTTTCTTTCCTATTACATCGCCCACTTGCAGGGGAAACGTGCAAATTTCAGGCTTTACCTTAAGATTTGACTCGGTGGCGAAGAGGATCATGTCTGATGTCGGATCGTTCTTTTCAAAAGCTGAAACGTCTTCAAGCACATCTGATGCTGCAACCAAAAGGCCGGGTGAGAGCATCCTTGAGAGAGACCTGAACGAGGAAACATTCGCTCTTAGAGGACCTAAATATTATCAAAGAGGATCTTCCTATAATTGACAGAGTACTCGCTTCCCAACCCTGACATTTATACGATCTTTTTCCCTATCTCCAGTAGACGACGGTCTTCATGGTTGGTGCTGTTGAGCCCCGTTCATCCTGACGCGAACTACCTACGTCGCTCTGAAAAGCTCCCGAAAAATGAGCCTTGTGGAGGAAGAGGGGTAAAGCGGTGCCATGGAAACTGTGAAATAGAGAGAAGTTTTTAAGCGCTTCCTTAGAACGCAGAAACACTCCACCTTTTCCAAGCATACAAAAATTGCTTTTCATGTGCTTCTCACAAATAAGATCCACATAAGAATCCCTCTAATTAGCCCAATGTGGGAGGATGGTAGTGGGGGGGGGGTGGGAGTCGCTCAGAAAATATGGCCTCTCACGTATGATTCTCTGATGGAGGGATGAAACTAGACCAATATCCGCTGAGCCTTCGTCAACGATGCAATTCTTGTACATTTGGTACCTCCACCTGCTTTCTTAAGTTGAATGCGTCCTCTCACTTGCACAGGATAGCCAAGCAGTCCTGCGAATTGCAACAAAGTCTATGACGAGTCCAAAGTAGCGTTGAACGAGTTTTAGTGGTATCACCCCTTGCGTCGTGAAAATCATTCATTAACAGGCTCGGGTGGCCGATCGAATTGACGCTCTATTGCGCTCGAAAATGAAGTCCAAGATGTGAGAAGGATGGCCAGGGGAAGAATGAATAGGAACCATAGAAAACACTGAAATCGGGGTCATTTCCACTTTTGAGGTCGATCTGCGGGGAGAGGAAACACTTGTGATGGACCGCGTCATTAGAGAGGGCGCTAGTACGCTACGTGATACTATCTGTGCTGCGAATGGTATATAATGGCTAGCGTCGCAGGCGCCGGTTCCGATGTGAGGCCACATAGGCGCCGTTGGGTGCGCTTTTTTCAAGGTTGCAACCGTGTCACGACCTTCCTAGACGACCGTGCTATTCCTCAGAACACGAGAGCAGAATTTATCCAATATTAGGATGCTTCATCGCGACGCTGTGCCTTTGATTTTTTATTGTATTAAATTCTGAAAATGTTTCCCAATCTTTAGTTTCTAATAACTCTCTACTGATAGAGTGCGCAGCTTTCGCTTTCAAGTTACCCGGTGCCACATGCCGTTAGGTAATGTGAGGAATTATTGTTTCCAACGTCTGATAAATGAGTATATGCGCTGTGAAATGTGCCACTCGAGTTGGATTATCAGCATCGTGGTTTATCCTTGATAACGTAACACTCTCAGTTTATTCGTGTCTATTCTGGGCTCTGTTAAATCACTGCTACTTTCGCAGATAATGATAGCCAGGGTCAACCTTAACATCGTTATTGTTACTTTTTTTTCGAAAATTTTTTACGACCCCCCTCCCCCAAGGTGGATTTGGTACGACCCCCTTCTCGACCCTCAACCACCATATTCCTCTCTATAACATTAACTTCCACTACCACTCAACCCTCAAAACTCCGCCCACTTTTTCCTCCAAAAATGCCGTCGAGCGGGGGGGGGGGGGGGGGGGGGGGGGGGGGGGGGGGGGGGGTATATACACCGGCTGAAACGGCAAATTTTTATCTTGCGCGCCCTCTACTCGCACAACCTACTACCCACCCACGAAATCTTAGTTTCTCCTCAATCCCACCCCTGATTTCGAGCAACTAAAGTGGTACGACCCCCCCTCCTACAAACTCAACCAGGTACGACCCCCCCGTTGTTACTCGTAACAACGTAGGGTTGACCCTGGTAATCTTCCAATATCCAAACATGAAAGGCAAGTTATCACGAATAGATGGAGGGTAACGTCAGTGAATATCATTCATGGAGGCGTGAAGAGGGCCAGCAGGGTCAACCGTCCGTTGGACAAAGTCCAACGCATGGCTCTCTAGCGTGTGAGAGTAATGCCGAGAGTGAACGTACGCACGGAGACACAGACGGCTCGCGCAAGGCGAGTGCGAATGCCGGCGCGGAGAGCGGTCAACGTCGGTCCAACGTCGCTCCAATATCGGTCCAACGTAACGGTTGACCCTGCCCAACCACATCCCTAAAACACTAAGGAGTCTAGTTCACCAACACGATGCTCAGTGGCGCATTCAAAGCCGCAAGCCCTCCAGCTACCGTAATGACTGCTTTTGACTGTTATCCGAGAATTCCTCATGTCTGACAACGCCTGTGGAGTGCGCCATGCACTCGTACCTTTCTTGGTGTTGTGTTCTTCAAGCTTATGCGGTAAGTTTTGCTTCCTTTACTGTTTGCCTAATCCGCTTTATGATCTCGTCTCGATGCTTGACCCATGAAGCGCTCTCTTACCTTCTGTCCTCTGAAATGGTCCTCGATAGAGCGTAAAACATTTAAAGTAGCACCACCCGAACCTGTAAAAAAATCTGTGGATTAGATGTTGGGGTAAGGATGAAAGGTAAAATTTGTTCAATGCCTATGGGTCGTTCAGGATACGCCATGTATTTGAATACTCCCATTCGGATTACATATTTGGGATTTACAATCACCTACCGCTCTGGCTAATGTCAAGTCAAATAGCTTTTTACTGCAATAAGATCCAGGGTGAATAACGGTCGAGGATTCCTCGACCATGGCTCTCTACTGTGCGAGAGTAGTGCCGAGAGTGAATGTACGCGCGGAGAGCACAGACGGCTCGCGCTGGCGAGAGTGAATGTCCGCGCGGGAGAGCGTGACTGAACAGGCGAAAATCCTCGACGAGCCGTTGAGTTTCCTCGACCGATTTTCACCCTGATCATGATGATACTAATAGCCGACAATGTAG